GGGTGATGCTGAGGCTCAGCCCGGGCTGCAGCGCCGCTCGGCGCAGGATCTGCTTTCCGCGCGGCTTCGTGGCGGTCCGCTCTCCCACACCGTTATAGTATCATCGCGTAGCTTTTCGAGGAGGACGTCATTACTGATCTACAGCCGCATGTAGCTGTAGAAGAGGCCAGCTTCGTCCTTGGCTAATACCCGACCGTGAACAATTTGCTAAAGTCAGTCGCAAGCTTAACTTTCTTGGCCCGGTGTCTTTTTCTTTCTTTGCGTGTGCGTTTAGATTGGGCTTCTCCCTCTGCGCTCTTCAGCTCTGGGGAGCAGATTCTTCTCCGGATTGCACGGATGTAAATGCAGCATACTTCTGTGGGTGTCAGAAGTATTGCAGTATAGGAAGTATGACTATAATACTCATAATAGTACTATTTAGCTATTAAATATATCAAGGCACTCTTTGTATGCAATAACCAAATAAGGTTATATGGATTGTTTCTCTTGTTTGCAAGTCTCAGTCAAAATCTACTGATTTTAAACATTATCATAAAACCACTGCCGGTGAGTGGTCTTGAGGATCTCTGTTTCTACTTCAGCCGTGATATGAATTTATGTAGCTTCTTTGACTTTGCTGCTGTTATACTCACATGGTGGATTATGTCTTACTAAGGTCTGATATTCCTTTTCTGTGATCTATATTTAACGGTTTATCATTTGAATAAAACCTGTTTTAGCAAGGGTAGGATTCATCTTGCATAACTTCTTTCAGGTTAGGTGTCTAGTCTAACGCAGGCATCTACATTTTTCCCATAGTCATTTCCTGAGGATAATATGTCTTGCCTCTCTTGGAATAGGTTGTATTTCTCTCAGTGCATTTCATAGAATCACAAAATAGTTGGGGTTGGAAGGGACCTCTGGAGATCATCTGGGTCAAGCCTCTTGCTCAAGCAGGGTCGTGTAGAACATATTGCCCAGCACCATCTGGCTTTTGAATATCTACAAGGATGGAGACTCCACAACCTCTCTGGGCATCCTAAGCCAATGCTCAGTCACTCTCACAGTGAAGAAGTTTTTCCTCGTGCTCAGACGGAGCTTCCTGTGCTTTTGTATGTGCCTGTTGCCTCTTGTCCTGTCACTGGGCACCACTGAGAGGAGTCTGGCCCCATCCTCTTGACACCCTCCCTTCAGATATTTAAACACGTTGATAAGGTCTCCGCCTCAGTCTTCTCTTCTCCAGCCTAAACAGTTCCACCTCTCTCAGCCTTTCTTCATAGGAGAGATGCTCAAGTCCCTTAATAGTCTTGGTAGCCCTTTGCTGGACTCACTGCAGGGGCTTCATGTCTCTCTTGTACTGGGGAGCCCAGCACTGGACACAGCGCTCCAGGTGTGGCCTCATCAGTGCTGAGTAGAGGGAAAGGATCACCTCCCTCGACCTGCTGGAAATGCTCTTCCTAATGCAGCCTCGGATGCTGTTTGCTTTCTTTGCCACGAGAGCGCTTTGCTGGCTCATGTCCACCGGGACTCCCAGGTCCTCTGCAAATATGTTCTCTAGCCAGTTGGACACCGGCCCGAGGTTATTCCTCCCCAGGGGCAAGAATTTGCACTTTCCTTTCTTGAACTTTATGAGCTTCCTCTCTGCCAATTTCTCCAGCCTGTAGGGTCCCTCTGAATAGCAGCGCAACCATGTGGTGTATCAGCCACTCCTCCCAGTTTTGTACCTTCTGCAAACTTGCTTGGGGCACTCTCTGTCCCACCGTCCTAGTCATTAATGAAGATGTTAAAAGTATTGGTCCCAGTGTTGACCCCTGGGAGGCACTACTAGTGAGTGGCCTCCAGCCGGACTTCGTGCGACTGATCACAACCTTCTGAGCCTGGCACTTCAACCAGTTTTCAATTCACCTCCACTTCTATTTTGCCATTTTCAATAAAAGAAGCCCAGAAGATGGTTGTACAATAGCTGCCTATGTTTTGTACGGCTGAAGTTAAAAGAGAAAACTCCCACCTCAGGGTTACGGTGGTGTCCTGACTGGATAAACTGCTGTTTCATGCTTTGTGCAACCCACAGTTAGAGGTATTCCAGCCATCCACAGGCTGGTGAACAAGGCTGTTCAGACGATGCAGGAAAGTACCATCGTCTCAGTTTCATGTTACAAATTCCATTCATCTTATTGCCCTACCTTCTTGCCGTTTACTACTCATGGTGTTTTGGGCATATAAGTTTATGTGTTATCTGATGTCTTATACTCTAGAATGCATCACATGCTATCATGTTAATTGAGACTACAGCAGCCAGAGAGCCGAGTAGGAGATGAACTGTCTGACTCTCCAGTTTCAAGCTTTTTTGGCAAGGCTGTTTGTTAATGGTTAATCTCACGCATACTGTTAAGTTCTGTTGAGCCTGGGCCCTCTCCTAGCCAACATTGCTTCAGAAATCTGAGTTAGCTGCTTTGATAGGCCATTCCTTGGCACCTAGATTAACCTGGAAAATCTCTCCCTAGCTTTTAGTGCATTTGGCAGTACTTAGAATAGGGAAAATGGAAATGGTAATTCCATTTCCCAGTGGCAAGAAAATAATTCCAGCCTTTTCCTTTCAGTATCACAATTTTAAGGGGAGCTACCAGGCTCTTACGAGAAGTCCCTGCATCACTGCTTTACTGTTGCCTGAACACTGCAAAATTAAACTGCCTTTGTATATAACAATTTTTTGAAAACCCTTCCCTGCTAATTAATATGCCCTTGTTAGAGCTGTCTTGAGTGAAAAGCATTAGAAGAGCGAATAAAAATGGAATGTTTCACAATGTCAAACTATGAGTTTATGTGAAAAATCATAGCAAAAATATTCTGAAAATTTTAAGGCTATAATCAATGAAGCTTTGACAATCCTTTTATGCTTACAGAATGTAAGCGCATATGTGATGCCTGTATATACATGAATATATAGGAAAAATTGCATTACTGTAATGGAAATACTATTTTGTCTTGCAGGAGCCAAACTGGAACCTTTTACCCTAAACCATACCCATTCCAGTCCTGCATATTGGTGATTTGGATAAAATATGTCAATACAAATCACAGTCTCATATTTTCCACTTAAAAATTAAGCCTGCCTAGCCATACCACTTAATCAGAGAAAATGAAAGAATAATCTGTCATAATTTTAACAGGACGGACATTTCCGAAGAAGGGTCAGACGTGTGTGGTGCACTACACAGGTAAGGCATGTTCTTTCAATATTCTCTTGAAACCAGCTACCTTGCACTCAAGAGGGATTTGTCATTTCAAATCTGGTCACTGTAGTTTTGCATTGTTCTGCCATTCATAGTCCATTTCATTACACTCTCATGGGTTTCCTGAATATTTGACTTCTCCCTGAGCAGTTCAGATTACAGTATGTAGATGTGCGTGCTAGTAGATTTGCCGAGTGTAGTGTTTAATGGTGACAGGCTCAAAAATGAAACCGTGGACCTGATTTTTTATGCCATTATACCGGCTAATGAAATCAAGCATGAAACAGTGAAAAAACTGGGTTCATATTTTTCCAGCCTCTGATCTTGATGCAGACAATTAATGATTGTATATATCTCAATAGCATGTTTCTGTGTCCTGGCAGTAAAAACCATTCCAGTTTGAGGAGATCAATACAAGGTCTATTTAACACCTACTTTATGGACTTGTATGAATCTTAAGTGGTGAGTTAGTTAATGGAGCTGTTTATGGTGCACCTTTGCTCCAAGGGAAAATGTCCTGTAAATCAGTCTGTAAAGTTATGTTTTGTATGCTTATGTAAATTGTCAAATGAATGCAAAGACCTCTGCAGCCTGAGCGCCCGGCTGTGAATTTCCCATCAAGGGCTGCCATTTTATGCAGCCTTTGCCTTAAGATGGTAAAACGTAGGGGAGGTGGGAATTGACAGCTACTAATTTGGGCCTAGAGCAGTGAGGTAACGTTTTCCTCTGGCAGTCTGCATTATAGGAAAATAATCACTGCTAACTCTCCCTTTTTCCAGCAAAGAAAGTTAACCAAGTAAAGCTGTTTGTATTCTCAAGAAGCTTTTTGGCATAATTTCAATAATCTCTGTCCTCAGAAAGAGAATTAGTGCACTGGCTTGGGGTATAGGAAGTCTGGGTTCAAGTTCCTATTCATTTGTGCGTTCAGAGTATTTGCCATGAGAATTTCTAGTTGAAATTAGAGTAGTGGGGGGAAGCGAACACAGGTCTCCCATGCCAGTCAGCTCTCACAGACATTCCTCTTTTCAGATCCTTTAGATCTGAAAATAGCTGTTTTGAAGCCATTTTTTGTGACGATGCTGAAAGAGATGTTTCTGTTCCAGTACAAATTTCAAAAGTTTTCATGAAACAAAATTGCCACCTCCCACCCCTATAACTAACTATAGATAAATTTAACTGTCAGAACTGTAATAGGCAGAAAACTGATAGATGGCAATTTGGCTATGGTCTGTGGCTCCCACGAAGTATAATTCTGCTGGATAACTTCAGAGAGAATGTGAATGGTGAATATGGAGAGGTAATAAGATGCTGTGTACTCTTAGTGATATTAGATAACTTAGATAAGGCTATCATAAGCTGGCTTTAGATACAAGAGACTTTATAAAATCAAATTAAATGAGTCTCTAGCCCAAACTATGCTTCCTCTCTATATCTTGCTGCTAGTGCTGTGCATCATCTCTAACTCCCAGATTAGAACAGATATCAGAAAAAGCTTATAATCACCGTTTCAGTGCTGCTGCAATGCTTACATAGTGGTAGTATTTTTACAGGGAGCCCATAGATGGTGGATAAAATTATTTCTGCCTATTGTCTATAAAGCGTTTGGGAAAGCTGAAATACAAATGTCAAGTCTTAAAACTATTTCATGTGAATACCGTATAACTTCTTTTTATTCTGATGCCACTCCGGATATGTCTGAGATTCATCTTGAAGTGATTTCTGCCATATTTATGTGATTTTATTAGGACCTCACTGTACCTAATGTTTATTCTCGAAATGCCCCTCTGAGTCTGCTTCAACAAGTGGGTAGCTATGTTACAGAGACATCCAGAGAGGTATCTAGAACATCTGTTTTGTTATCTAAAATGGGATTTAGGAAAAATTAAGGCACCTAGGTGCAAGGAAACGACCCAGAAATCCTGCTTTCCAAGAGCTGGTTAATACTGGGAGCGTGTGAAGCTAGTTTGCCCCGTGTGCTGTATACGGAGCACCCTGAAGCTAGGCACAAATACCTGTGCAGAAGCATTGCCGTCTGGGAAGGGAACCAGGAACTGAGCTGACTCCGTTAAGATGACGAAAGGAGGCACTTGGATCCCCAGAGGAGCCTGACCTCATCAGAGTGCTCTGAGCACAGCTCTGAATCCAACGTGAAACACAGTAGTTACAGCCAGTTTCAGTTAAAAACATGGCCTAAAGGAGCTCACTTTATGTAGAATAACTAAACAGTTGTTTCAGATATGGCCAACCCGTGTTCAGTTCCCTTTGCAAACCGAGGAGACTCACAGCTGTGTTTCCCACATCCTTAGCTGCAAGCATTATATTATCGAGAAGAAAAAAAGCTCTCGTTTCCTGCTGCCTCCGGTTTAAGTTGGACATTGAGCAGCTAAGAGTGCAGGAGCCGGGAGCAAGAAAGGGAGCAGGGAAGAGAAGGATTAATTTAGGCAGTTGTGACAGCGCTGAAGGTTGAAAGAGTTGTATTCCAGTCCCTGTCTTTGGGATGAATTTTGTATTTTTTTTATTCAGTGATTTTCCCATGCAGTAATACTTAGTCTTGACAGCTTGATAGGCCATGTAATTTCTTGCGGTGGTCCTACCAACAGACACACTATAGGTGTGCGTGAGACAGCCCCTTAGCACAAACACGCTCAGGTCCTTGTTTCCCTGATGAGCTCGACTTGTTGAACATGCACAGAAAAAACGATGCCTGCCCACTCCGTATTTATGTCTTGAGAGTTTCTAGCAAGGAGGAGACTAGGAGGGGCTTGCTTCTGCTAGAGCAGGTTATGAATTTTCAAGCAGATTCAAACAGTGGGCTATGGGCTCTGTTTGCCTTATTATCCCTCTTGCCTTTCTCCTCCATGGGTCTCATAGATGTTCGTTTGCCGTTTGATGGGGAGGGATGGCGGAGGGAGTGTGGGCAGCAGCGAGCTGCTGCCACTACAAGACTGAAAGGCCTGCAGCTTGCTTCTGAGGAGTGTTTTGGAGAAAGGGTATTAGAGCAAGCTGTCTGCGTGAATTGTCCTGACAGTCCATCTGCAGCAGGCTGGAGGTTGAGCATGTCAACCTAATGCGCAAAAAGTCCAGAGAGAGAACCAAAGTCCGGTACCCTCATCCTCCAAGATCTTCTGATTTTTTTCATCTTCAGGGTAGGGGTGCTCACAAAGTAGCTTCTAATCTGATGACACTGCGTGTTTCTGAGAAGTGGAAAATGACGACTAGAGTCTCAAGATGGAGGAGAATCATAATAGAGTTTTACACTTTTTCTATCAGTGCTCTAACTATTAGGCTGTTACATGTGGTAACTGCCTGTTTCTCTTCTTGTTCGATTAGATGCCTAATCTGTGGAGCAGGCTTTGTGGCTTGATTCCCAAATGTATCATGAAGCCCTTAATGGACAAACCTAAGTTCCAGTAGCAGCAGAAGTTAAGGTACAGCCTCACAGGGGAACAGTTCAGAAGGAACCTCTTGTTTAAGCATAACTTTTCTTTTTCCCCCTCAAGGAAGTTGTTGGCTGTACTTCAGTTAGAGTAGGGTTTTTGGATTACCTTTCAGAAGTACCTAATTGTCCTTTCTGACTACATAAGGCGCCTTAGTGCCTAACTTTGTTACTGTAAATGACCTGCTAATTTTTCAGCCTTGCACAGCCTGAGTGAAGTACACACATAGGTCCTTTGGATCATTGCATAAGATAAGTCTCACTGCATAAGACTGTGATAGAATATGAAACTGAGTCCAGATCTTAGCATCTGACTGAAGAATGTGATCAGGTTCATGTGCGTTGTAGCTTTGTTAGGAAATAGAACAAATATTCCTCTTATCATCCAGCATCTATGTTGTGTCTGAAAAGTTACCTGATACAATATTAAAGTAATGGGATTAACAGATATTGTAATGTCCTGGCACTGAAAAGCATTTCCAGCAGCAATGGTTTATGTTATGTTTTTGTCATAGATTTCCTTGAGCAAGCTTCTGAAAGCCTTTGGCAATCAGCTTACTCCTCCTGTTTTCCATCTGCAGAATGATAGTTGTACGTTGTCTGCCTTGTGTAGATAGACGATGAGCAATTTGGGATATTAACTGTCTCCTTCTACATGCCTAACATATGAGGTGCTAATCTTGATTGGGTCTTTAGTTTGCATTGCACTAGTGGTAGTAATACAAGTAGTGACATTAGTTCTGGAGTGTATCAACAGCGTTGGGGCATTTTCTGCAGTTTTGTTTCCTGTGATTTAAATTTCTTGACTTTGGAAACATTAATCAGTAGTGCAGAATTGTCAAAGAAGGTTTATTGTGCCCTCAAACGAATGTTATCTTTATAGGTCCCAAATCTGCTCTGAATAGTACGAGGGCAGCTCTTTCTCAACTTGTTCAGAGTTGATGTTCTCTTATGTTGTCCCACGTAGCTTGTGGCAGAAATGAATTCTTAGCCTCTTCATCTTTTTTTTTGGCCCCCCTGTAAATTTGTGATAACAATGCAATTACGCTTTTTAAGGAGAAAGTAGATGTTCAGTATTTGTGCAGTGCTGGAACAGGCTTGTTTTGGAATGATACTATGAAGGCATATTAAATTATTAGTTACTTATTAAGCTAAACTTCTGTGAGCGAAAAATGTCTATAGGCTTTTTAGGCCTAGGCAATGAGCACAAAATTCCACCAAATACTGGGAAATTGATAGCTGTTTTTTGTTTTGTTTTTGTTTTTGTAAATGCTTAAAATGGGATCCCCTGTTGAAGTAAATCAATACTGCTCCATTTACGTCAGATGAGCTGTACAGATTCGTTCTGTTTTAGGAGGTGGGCATTTATTTAAATCACAGCTAATGATTAGTTGTTCTTTTCCTGGTGACATGAGGACAAACTTGTATCATCTTCTTTTTTCCATACATTACCAAAATTGCTTTATAATCTTTTTTTAGCTTTGGCAGGATGTAGTGTTTTAAGAGTTATGCCCGTGTCTGTGAAACTGAAAGACTTTTTTTTTTTTTT